TGCGAAAGATTTGGCCCCTCTCCAGAAGAAGCCCCCGAGGCGAAGGAGATGCTCGAGCACCACCTTACAAGGTCGAAGGCCTGCAGGCGCAAGTACTCCGAGCTGCTCGAGCACGCGCGAGGCCCAGGCAAGGGCCGCGGCGCCGCGGGCGCGCGCGGGCAAGGCGAGCGAGGGCCGGGAGGAGGAGGAGGAGGAGGCGGACGACGACGACGACGGCGAGGGGGGGGGGGGGGGGGAACAGCAGAACGACGAGAAGAGACAGCGCATGCGAGTGAAGGCTTGCAGTGCACGCATGCGTGCTGCATGCGCTCGTGGAGTTTTCTCGCGCAGCTTCTTGCCGCCCCGAACGGCGAGTTCGCCGGCGCCGTGCCCCGTGGAAAAATCTCCCTTCCCCGACATCGTCTGCCCTCCTGCGCAGGAGGGCGCGTCCGCCCATCGACCCATCACCCGAGATGTCTCTCCGTCGCAACGCGTTGCGGCTCGGGCTCAGCGGAGCCGCCCATCTCTCTCTTCTACGAGCGCAGATCTGTTCGGCAAGCGCAGGCGCCACTACGACACTGCGGATCTTCCTCCTGGCAGGAGGTTGAGGGCAAACGCGGGCGCGCTGCTGACAACCAACGCGCTCACCTGCAACAAGGCCCAGTCGCTGCTGGACGACGCCCGCGCGGGAGGCCACCGAGGAGCGAGCGACGTGGCCAGCCGCCGAGGAGCGGGCGAAAAGGGCGCCAGCAGATGGGCAAACGTCGGCGGCAATGCATCCAGGAGGTTGCGGAGGCGATTTCTCCGAGGCAGCGCGTGGCCCAGGCCGCGCTTCGCGGAGGTCCGCTGCTGGGGCAAGAAGCACAACCGCGAACGGAAGGAGTGCGTCGCTCTCGGCTTACCGCGCGAATATTTTGCCCAACTGGTGACTTACGGCTCGCTCGAGAAACTGGAAGACACCGGCGGTCTGGATAAAAGTGGAGAAGAGCACGTGCAACGCTGCCTCTCGGCAGTGCAAGTTGATTCGATGGTTCCAGCAAGACTGTGGGCCGACGGCGTCCCGCGCCAGCGGGGCCGCGATCAGACCGTAGAGCTCGCGCGCCTCAGTTTGCCGGGGCTGCCGAAAACGGTGGAGGCGCACAAGCCGCGCGCGCTCGTCGCTGGGTTGACGAAGTCTCCCATGAGCACGAACACTTGGCATGACATGTTCGAAGTGCTTGCTTGGAATTTTCGGCCCATGGCTGCAGGTGAATACCCTGCCGCCCGCCACGACGGCACAGATTGGTTGAAGTCTGACTTTCACAGAGCCAGGAAGGCAGGTTCACATTTAGGCTACAGGTCTGCACCGGTGCAGACGCGCGCAGATTGGGCATGATGGAAACAAGTGTTCGGGCTCCCGCAGTTCAACGAGAAGGCGGGCTGCTGCCGGGGGGGCCACGTGGCGCCGCAGCAGGCCCCTCGTCCGCTTCCTTCTCGCCGCCCTCCTCGCCCCCCTCTTCGCCGCGCGCCCCCCGCCCCCTGCGCCCGCGCAGGTCTTCCAGCCAGAGCGCGTCTGCAGCGCGGCGCCGCGGCGGAGCAACAGGCGCGCGAAGACGCAACTGATCCGACACTTAATGGAACATGATGTCACGATTCCGCCGACGATGTCAACCCCATGGGTCGCCCAAGCGGTCTGGATAATCGATTGGCTACATGCCGTTGATTTGGGCGCGGCTGCAGATTGGTTGGGGCAGATGTTTTGTTCAGATGAATACAACTTAAAAGTTCACTGGCCCTACGTGCACCGCGCAATGCATATATTTGCGGGATCGCCTGGGTACCTGATACGGGCGGAACCCAGAGGCGGATCGAATTCACTCCTTGACAATGAAAACCATAAAGCACAAGAAGGCAATGCGCCTTTCAGGGCAGGCTGCTGTCGTCAGACACATGATACCGTCTGGGAAAGCGCTCGCCGACGAGCTGTGCGACCCCAATGTCACGGAGGAGGCCGCGATGAAAAATGCGATGTTTCATTTGTCTCAGCGTTATCTTTGCTCGAGATCGAAAGGAAACATTTTGAATGCGCAGTCGACCAAGTTCAGCCTGCAGTGCGCCGCACTGCGCGGCATGCGCCCGAAAGTGTTTCAAATGAGACCGAAGATTCATCAATTTATCGAGATAGGCCCCCAAGCCGCACAGGGGCACCAGCCCGAGACATGCTGGACTCACAGAGACGAGGACTGCGGAGGCACGGGCGCCAACTTCGCCAAGCGTCGTGGCAGCGCGCTCACGCCCAAAGGGTTCAGCGTCGCATTGATGTCAATTTTTTCTCGCAGCCTTTCGCGAGGATCTTGCGATGGCATCGGCAGTGCTCCTCGGCCAGATCCAAAAAAGAGGTTGTCCTCCCCTCCCCCCTCTTGCGCAGGAAGTGCACGTCGACCCGCGTCGGGGCCCCCCTCTCCCGTCCTCCTCGCCCCCCAATTCACCTTCACATGTCCACTCGTCTTGCTCATCCATGTGTATGTTTGCCGCAGCCTTTTTTGGCTGCGAACCTTTCTGGAAGCTGCCCGGCTCGAACCCAGGAGTTCAGCATAACAATTGCCATGGCAGCCTGGGACAGGCGGTGCTCGACGTGCGGCGCCCTCGGCGCTGCGCACGACGCCGCGGCCTGGCGCTACGTGCAGCAGCTCGACGGTAACTGGTGGTTTCCCTGCTGCCAGATATGCGTCCAGAATTGCCGCCTTGGCCTCAACAACAAGGTTCTGGAGCACGACGGGCCGCGGGTCGAGAAGCTGGTCGACGAGCGACTGGTGATCTTGGCGGAGGCGCGCTGCTTGGCCCAGAACGGCAACAGGGACGCGCAGGCAAACCAGCGGCGACGCCTTCACTGAGTGAGCGACGCCTTCGCTGAGTGAATCCGCGCGCCACCTGCGCGCCCAGAACATCGGGAGCCGTGCCCCCTTTTTGCGCCCGATGAGAAAAAAAGAAACGAGAGGGGGCGACGTCTCCTGTCGAGGAGGCGCCGCGGGGAGCAGGAGGAGGAGGAGGAGGGAGGGAGGAAAATGCGGAGGAGGAGGAGGGGAATGGAGGATGCAATCAATAAAAAATCAACATTGAAACCGCATATACTTAACATATAATCATATGTAAACCGCATAGAGTCAACATATAATTAACACACAATCAACATATAATTAAAACCGCAAGCGATATAATCAACATAGAAGCCGCAGGAGAGCTCTGCTCTTAATTAAGGCTGACAGCTAATTAGAGCTACCAGCCCTGTCAGCCTTCATTAGCGCTGACAGCAAATGAGAGCTGATTGGACCCTCAAGGACTAGTGAAAAATATATAGAAGAAACCGTTCAATACATTACCAAATGAATGCAGAAATAAAATCCGTGCCTGGCCCACCCCCCCCGCGATGCGCGATGCCCCTCGCGCCCCCGCGCTCTCGCGGCGCCCCTTGGAGAAGCACGTGACGTGCGAGAGGCGATCTGTCCTCGCGCCCCCGCGGGCACCCTACCGAGAAGCTGGAAACACTCATGCGTGGAACACCTGGGTGTCACTTGCCGGAGGGCCGAGGGCTGGAGAGACATGTGGTCACGCGTGTATCTTCGCGCCCCCGCGGGTGCCGAGTTTCTCGACGCCGGCGCCCTTCGGAGGGGCGACGGCAGCGACCGCAAGGGTTTCTGGCCCTCTCGTGGCCGCAAGAACGTGCCCGCGAAACGCCTGGCTCTGGCACTCTGTGGACGGTCCAGCTCTGCCACGGCAGCAAGCGAATACCCGAGAGGTACCCTACCCCTTCTCCGCGCACGACGACTACTTCTATGAACGCTCCATACATGAGAGTACATGGCGTGATCTACGCTGCCCTCACCTCCGCCGTGCCTCTCTAGAGACCACGGAAACTGGCGACTGTTGTGCAGTTCGCAGTCTACGACGGGAGCCGCGAGGTTTCGAAGTGAGTTGCTCTGCCTTCACCTCCGCCGTGCCTCCCAGGAGCCCACGGAAGTGGCGACGGTTGCACAGTTCGCAACCCACGATGGGAGCCGCGAAGTCTCACAAACTCCGCGCTGCCCTTACCTCCGCTGTGCCTCCCAGGAGCCCACTAAAGTGGCGACGGTTGCGCAGTTCGAAGCCCACACTGGAGCCACGAGGCTTCGAAATGATTTGCGCTGCCCTCAACTCCGCCGTGCCTCCCAGGAGCCCAAGAACAAAGCAACAACTCTTGCGCAAATCACAGCCCACGATGGGAGCCGCGAGGTCTCGAAGTGATCTGCGCTGCCCTCACCTCCGCCGTGCCTCCCAGGAACCCACTAGAGTGGCGACGGTTGCACAGTTCGCAACCAACGATGGGAGCCGCGAGGTCTCCAAGTGATCTGTGCTGCCCTCACCTCTGCCGTGCCTCCCAGGAGCCCACGGATGTGGCGACGGTTACACAGTTCGCATGCCCCGAGGGACCGCACATGATGCAGAAGCAAAAGGAAAAGGAGGAGAAGGAGAAGGAGGAGGAGAAGGAGGAGGAGAAGGAGGAGGGGGTAGGCGACGCGAGGAGGAGGAAGAGGAGGAGGAGGAAGAGGAGGAGGAAGAGGAGGAAGAGGAGGAGGAGCATTGGGACGGAAAAGACGGGTACCAAAGCGCTCTCCTCAAGCGAGAATCCAAAACACGAGGGCTGCCAAACCACGGCGGCCGTGTACAGTCCCCCACCTCTTCTCGCCGTGAGATGACAAAAAAAGACACGACAGGCGGTTTGATCCAATTACGGTCTCTGGGGGCCCCTGACCGGGCCCCGGCAAGTTCGTATCGTGACGACTTCGGCGTTGGTTTCTGACACCGCGGGGACCGTTCAGCCTTGAGCGATCGGCCGTTTCCGAAACGTCAGATCGCTCAACGTCGACCGATTCTGGGTCTCCAACGGCGCTCAACGTTGAACGCCGGCGGCGGGGTCGCCGCCGGTCGGCACGACGCGAACCTACCGCACTCGGGATGAACATGTAGTCCCAGGGGAAAGGTACAGGTCTCCGGGGTCCCACCCTGCGGGCAAGAAGCGCGACGCTGGAGTCCTGGGCCCACCCCACCTCGGCCACGGCCTCTCTCCCACCGTGCGCCGGCTTCCGCCGGCGGAAGCTGGACGACGCTCTCAGCCCCGCGATGTGCGGCACCATGCCCACTCGGCCAAGCGTGCGGATGCCTCGCGGCCAAGCTGTGCCCAAGCACCGCCGCACGTGGCGGCGCTCTGACGGTTGGTTGCGGCTGCTGCTGGCTGCTAGGCCCCAAGCGGTCTCTGAGGGCTCGGCGGGGCGTAGACGCGCGCGTTACGCTGCCTGCGCTAAACTTTCTGCGCCCCGTCGCCGCGCGCGGGGCCGCGACGCCAACGAACAAGTGCATCAGCTCGCCCAGGGCAGCCCCCCACACGTGCAACGCCAGGTGAGCTTCGGCAGGCCCGTCTGAAGGTGTGCACACAAATAAATACACACAAATAAATATATTTCTGTATTTTCCAATATTTTCTGGGTTTCTGCTTCCCCCCCCACTTCCCATATTTCCTTATATATTTACCTAACAGCGAAGACTGATAGGTTTCTAATGGGGTCAAAAGAGAACATCTGATGACTCCCCAGGGGGGTCTGGGCGGGAGCCAGACAGGCGAGGGCCGGGTTCGTTTTAAGCAAACAGTCAAACACTTCGTGCTCTTCGACCTCCCAGAACTCCATTCCCGGGCCACATTTTGAATGCCCGGAGCCAAATGTAGACCACTTCGTGCTCTTCGACTTAATTCCCAGAACTCCATTCCCGGGCCACATCTTGGATGCCCGGAGCCAACTGTAGGCCACTTTGTGCTCTTCGACTTCCCAGAACTCCACTCCCGGGCCACATTTCGGATGCCCGGCTCTTGGACTCCCCAGAACACCACTCGCGGGCCACATTTTCAATGCCCGGAGCCAACTGTAGGCCACTTCGTGCTCTTCGACTTCCCAGAACTCCACTCCCGGGCCACATTTTGAATGCCCGGAGCCAACTGTACGCCTTTCCATCACTCCTACTCGTTCACTCCACACACTACAACTACTACTTCACTGCTACCACTACTACCATCACTACTACTTTTACTGCTACTACTACTGTTACTATTACTGCTGCTGCTGCTGCTGCTGCTGCTGCTGCTGCTGCTGTTGCTGCTGCTAGTGTAGCTATTGCTACTGCAACTACTGGCAGTGCCACTGCGACTGCCGCTGATGTTGCCACTGCGACTGCCACTGCGAATCCGAATGCGACCGCGAGAACACCAGAATTCTACAACAGCGCTCTTACATGAATACCACAGGCAATGTTTCCAGCTATGTTTTTACACATCGCTGTTCGGTTGCTTTGCCGGGGTAATCTGGGAGTCGACGATTAATTGTGTCTGTGCGTTTTAACCTAACAACGAAGACCGATAGGTTTCTAATGGGGTCAAAAGAAAACATCTGATGACTCCCCAGGGGGGTCTGGGCGGAGCCGGACAGGCGAGGGCCGCGCTCGTTTGAAGCAAACAGTCAGACACTTCGTGCTCTTCGACCTCCCAGAACTCCACTCCTGGGCCACATTTTGAATGCCCGGAGCCAAATGCAGGCCACTTCGTGCTCTTTGACTTCCCAGAACTCCACTCCCGGGCCACATTTTGGATGCCCGGAGCCAACTGTAGGCCACTTCGTGCTCTTCGACTTCCCAGAACTCCACTCCCGGGCCACATTTTGGATGCCCGGAGCCAACTGTAGGCCACTTCGTGCTCTTGGACTTCCCAGAACACCACTCCTGGGCCACATTTTGAATGCCCGGAGCCATCCGTAAGCCACTTTGTGCTTTTCCACTTCCCAGAACTCCACTCCCGTGCGTACTTGTAATCGTAGTTCCAGCAATAGAAGGACTGCGCGGCCGCGGTGCTTCCCAGCCTCCGAGTTTCGTCGGTGCTTCTCAGCCTGCATCTGTCCGACTGTGCGCTTCACACGCCGCTCCTAGTGCGCTCCTCTTCCGTTTGCGAGATGTCTTCCAAGATGTGGGTGGAGGCCGAGAAAGACGGACAGAACAAATCCAAGTAGCGCGGTCATCATCCCATCATCCTCCTCAATCATCACATCATCATCATCAATGGCTTCGCCGAGCACCCCGGTGGAGACTCAGGTCTTACGGGTCCGTGCCCATACTCCTACTCCTACTACTACTACTACTACTACTACTACTACTACTACTACTACTACTACTACTAATACTACTACTACTACTACTACTACGACTACGACTACTACTACCACTTGTACTACTACTACTACTACTACTACTACTACTACTACTACTACTACTACTACTTCTACTACTACTACTACTACTACTACTACTACTACTACTACTACTACTACTACTACTACTACTACTACTACTACTACTACTACTACTACTACTACTACTACTACTACTACTACTACTACTACTACTACTACTACTACTACTACTACTACTACTACTACTACTACTACTACTACTACTACTACTACTACTACTACTACTACTACTACTACTACTACTACTACTACTACTACTACTACTACTACTACTACTACTACGACATCACACTAAATCCATCCATGGGAGTGCCTGTATCGGAGCTACATTCATTGATGCAAGTGTGTCGTTTGAGGCTCAAGCCGTTGATAGCAGTGTCTCGTTTGGAATCACATCCGTTGATAGCAGTGTCTTATTTAGACCTCAATGCATTTATACAAAGATCTCATGTGGAGATACCGTTATCGAAAGCAGTGTTTCTACTGCTACTACCATTGCTCCCATCAATCCTACTCGTTCACTCCACACAACTACTTCACTGCTACCACTACTACCATCACTACTACTTCTACTGCTACTACTACTGTTACTATTACTGCAGCTGCTGCTGTTGCTGCTGCTAGTGTAGCTATTGCTACTGCAACTACTGGCAGTGCCACTGCGACTGCCGCTGATGTTGCCACTGCGACTGCCACTGCGAATCCGAATGCGACTGCGAGAACACCAGAATTCTACAACAACGCTCTTACATGAATGCCACAGGCAATGTTTCCAGCTATGCTTCTACACATCGCTGTTAGGTTGCTTTGCCGGGATAATTTCCCCTCCTGATGTTAGGAGGAGGCTGCTCCGTAGAGGCCGCCGGCCTCACGTCCACGGCCGAGGCCCGCGCCTTCCAGGAAGCGGGGGTGCTCCTCAGAGGCCCTCCCCCCTCCCCCTTGGCCCCCCCTCTGCGCGTGGCGGGGGCCTCCCCCTGGCCCCCCCGCCCCTGGGCCCCCCTCCCCCTGGCCCCCCCTCCCCCTGGCCCCCCTCTGCGCGTGGCGGGGGCCTCCCCTCCGCACCCCGTCTCTCTCTCTCTCTCTTGCGGCCCCCGCGCGCGGGGCCGGGCCTCTGGAGGCCCAGGCCCGGCGAACGGCTGGCCGTCGTGCTCCGACCGCGCTGCCGGGAGATCGTGGGGGCGCCCTCCCCTGCTCCTCCTCCTCCTCCTCCTCCTCCTCCTCCTCCTCCTCCTCCTCCTCCTCCTCCTCCATCTCCCCCTCCATCCTCCTCCCCCCTCCCTTCCTCCTCCTCCTCCTCCTCCTCCTCCTCCTCCTCCTTGCGAGGTGGGCGAGGTGGGCGAGCGGTGCACTCCGGGCGCGAGGCGGCGAGGCTGCCGCTCTCAGCCCGTGATCGTGTACTCCTCGCCCGCCTCCCACCACGAGCGGGCCGCAAGCAGCTGCTTCACCCAGTCGTCGAAGTCCAGGCAGTCGGGGCCTGGCAGACTGGACAGAGTCACCAGCGAGCGCTCCACAGCTACACATTCTGAATGCCGCTCTGCATTCCCCTGGCCCTGTCCGGAAGATATCCCGCCCTCTGCATGTGTTGTGTTTTCGCACACAGGATTGGACAGAGGTGGTTCGTCTTGCGGTTGTCAGCAATCCGATTGTTTTCGGTGTTTTCAATAATGCGTTCCCGCTGCAGCGTGGGCCTCATTTTCGGATCGGCGCTTTGCTGCGGTCGTTCAAAATGGCGGTCTCGCCCCTTCGTGGGCCACTTTTCTGGATCCGAGTTCTTTTTCATCGCTGTCGCCTCCCCCCTTTCCCTTCCTCCGCCATTCCCTGGTCCTCCTGCTCATCCCGCAACTTCCACTCCAGTTACCGCTGCTGCTGTTCGTCCTGGTCCTCCTCCTCCTTCTCCTCCTTCCTTCTTCCTCCTCCTCCTCCTCCTGCTCAGTTCTGGGAGTTCCAGGTCCGCTATGACACACGTCCACGGATAGAGAAAACATCAACACAAAAGGAAGCGATGAGCGGGAGGAGTAGGATGTCAGATACGGTGCGAGCGCACCTGGCTTGTCGTTCCCTCTCTTCCCCGCTCGTTTCCCTTATCCCCCTCTTCCCACTTCCATCCCCCTCCGCTCACTCCTCTACTCGCTCTCGCTCCTCCTCATCATCATCATCTTCCCTGCTCGCCCGATCCTTCTCCTCACCATCGTTCTCCTTTTAACGGCTGGTGTGCTGCCTCTTTGTTTCGTCCCCCATTCACGATCGGTAACTCACTTGCGTCGCACCGCCTGCGCACCAGGCATCTTGCCTGAGTCTTCCCCATAGCCTATAACATGCTAGCCGGCGTGGGCCACACGCAATGCTCTCTAGCAGCCCCTATGTGGTGCAACTTCCATACAATCGTTGACATGCCATACACGGTTGTGCAATATATATATATATATATTGTGAATCAACATCTGTGATAAAATAGATGTAGTGCAGTAACAGTGGTGCAATCTATGTTGTGCAGTTTATTATGTTCCATACGCGTGGTGCAATCTATGTGGTGCGCAATTCATGGTGGGCAACCGACGTGGTGCAAGCTGTGTGGTGCAACCCACGTTGTGCAATAGATGTGGTGCAACCTACGTGGTGCAACGCACGTCTGTTCGCAATGAATTGTCCACTCCACTGCTCGCGCAAACATCCCACCCACACGCCCGCAACGGGGTTTGCAAACCTCATGCGGCGGCGATTGCGATGAGTGCTTGGCGCTGGCTGGTGCATTTCTGCGGCTGCGCCAGCCCGCGCAGGCGCGCGCGCAGCGGCCATAGTTCGGCGCGACCGACACGGCCGCGGTGGTTCTGACCGCTCGGCACACCCCAGCACTAGAGTGCGAGTCGGCGACTTGGGCGGGTGCGGTATCATGGCAACGTCGACTATTATAGACATGATGATGATGGTGATGATAATGATGGTGATGATGATGACGGTGATGATGGTGATAGTAATCGCAATGATTGCGGCGATGCTGACAGCGACGACGGGGCAGCCAGTGACGCCGACGATGCCATTTACGCCGACGACGATGGCGGCGTCTTCACGTCGGTGATGAAGGTTTTGGACTGAATTCGAAATGCGCGCGCGGCAAGCGCGCGAGAGTGGCTCGCATGGAACTATTTGACACGGACCGTGCCACCTCCGCACGCGCGCAAGGGCGTCCGAACAATTTCGGCATGCGCGCACGACGCTTGGTAGCATGTTATGACATGTTGAGAAACTCATGGTTTTCTTAAGAATTCGCAAGACCGCGCGCGCACGCTTTTGTTGAAAAGCCGTGTTGCGAAACCCTGTGTGGTTGTATGTTTTTAGGCGCTCGATTTTGAAATCCTTCCGAAACCGGGAGTTTTTGAAGGATTCCGGCATACGCGCGCGACGACGCGCGCGCGTGCGCTTCGTCTCTTTCGTTGCAGCGGAGTCTCGCGACGGCACGCGCGCAAGCGCGTTCGAGCGATGTCGACATGCACGCGCGAATGCCGTTTGGTACTTGTTTCTAAATATATTTTGTTTGGACACTCGATTTTGCAACCCCACCGAAACCCAAGGTTTCTGAAGGATTCCGGCATGCGCGCGCGACGACGCGCGCGCGTAGGCACTTCTTCTGATTCTCTTGCAAGGGATTCTGGGAAACTTATGAGTTTTGATAAACGAATGTCCGCGCATAGTATCTGTTGGACAGGATGGCGGGGGGGGCGATACCTGTTTGGGTGGGATATTACGAAAACACAGGTAAAATGGACATTGGGTCAGAATCATATGTGTTTTGCCATACGACAACGTGAACCTTGAACCCCGGGGGAAGGAGGCTGGTAGAATCTATCTCCTTTTAGTTGAAGAGCCGGGAAATGTCAACTTCACCGATCGCGTACGCACCCCACCCACCAACCCGCAACTTGGTTTGCACAACCCGTACAGCGGCGATTGCCATGAATGCTTGGTGCTGCTGGCTGGTGCATCTTTGCTGCCGCGCGATCCAGCGCATGCTCGCGCGTAAAGCGGCCAGCTAGGCGGTGGCGGTGACCGCTGGGCACATCCCATCGCGTCTCGCAAGCCGCGCTGACGCGCGGGCACTTCACTGCGAGTCGATGGGTCGGGCGGGCGGTGTATCATGGCGACGTCGATTAAGGCAGACGCGATGATGATTGTGGCAATGCTGGTGACGGCGGTGACGACGACTACGGCAAGGCCACTGACGGCGCCGACGCTGATCACGCCGGCGAAAGTGATACGATCCCCACGTGGATGATGAAAACTGTTGGAAGGTGTTCGGCATGCGCGCGCGGCCGACAAACTGCGAGTGGCCCGCATGGCGTTATTTGATAGGGAGCAAGCTCGCCCTAACCAGCACGCGCACGATGGTGTTCGAATGATTTCGACACTCGCGCGCGAAAGGACCGTTTGGTCGAATTTGGTGGACGTGCCGAAAACCTATGCAATAGTTGTTGTGCAACCGACGTTGCGCAATGTATGTTGCGCTATATATACACACACATATATATATATATATATGTGTATGTGTGCGTGTGGTGCAACCTTTGCGATGCGTAATAGATGTGGGATAGTCGACGAGGTAAAACCTGCGTGGTGCAATCGATGTTGTGTTCTCCAGATGGCTCACTGTATATACTGCAATCTATATTGTGCAGCGTATGGGTATCAACACACGTGGAGCAATCTATGTGGTGCAACCGATGTTGCGCAACCTTCGCAGCGACGGGACGGCGACGGCGGCAACATAGCCGCCAAATCGGCAGACAGGCCCAGACGACGGGCGTCGACGAAGCGGCGACGGGTGGCGACGGCGGCATCAGAGCCGCCAGAACGGAAAACAGGCCCATTTCTCTAGAGCAAAAGCATGAACCCATAAATGCAATCACCGTTTGGGGAACAGCTTGACATGCCCAGCAATCACACACACAAACACACACGGGCGGCGGAACGCGTATTCCTTCGATGAAAACGTGGCTCTTGCGTTTTCGCTCACGCGCATTCGCCCTTTATGGTTGTTACGCCACTGAACGGATGGAGACGCTTGGCTTTCAACACGTGGGTGCCGCTTCATCGACGCACGCATGTGTTGTACCTGGTGCCAACACTCACACGAAAAGAAAAAGGATTATGTTCGATACGGTTATCTCGCGTGGGAATTATTCAAATGCATCGGACACTGTGCAATTATACGCGGATTAGGGACTGCCTCCTCTTGCCCCTCCATTAGCCATGGAAAGGGCATCCGACGTTGCGCGATACTCGAAAGTGTGTTCTTTCGCAAAACGGCGCTTTGTTTGTTTCTCTCTCTCTCTCTCTCTCTCTCTCCCTGAACACGACCTGCAACATGTTGTTCCTACCTCGCTTCGCTTGTTACAGCTAGGTGAATAGGAAGGAGGGCGGGCTCCTTCCATAACAAACCAATGACATGAACTGCAGGCCCATATCGCCTCGACGGGGCGCTGATCTTATTGAAGAGCAATATTAGTTAGACACCTATTCCTATGTATATATTTTTACAAGGCCGGGGACCCCGGAAAAGCGGCACACGGCGCCCCCCCCCCCCCCAAAAAAAAAAACTAATTCCGGCCTCCCCGAGCCTTTGGGGCGCTCCTGCAGAGTGCCCCGCGTCTGTCCTGCGAGCGCGACGCGAGAAAAAAAAACAACGACGGCCAGAGAGGGCCCCAAAGATCGGCCCGAGACGCCCAATCTGGGCCCAAGACTGCCCAAGACGCGTCCAGGACGCCCCCAGAGACCCCCAAGAGGCCTCCCAAGAGGGCCCCGAGAGGCTACAATTGTTGATGTTTCCTGTGTGTTTTACTATGTTTTTGGCCTTATCGCTTTTCCCGCTTCCCGACGCTCCACAATGGCCCAAAAGGCTCCCTAGATCGCCCCAGTGCTGCCCAAGAGGCCCTCAAGAAGGCCCCAACACGGTCCAGGAGGGCTCCGAGACCGCCCAAGAGGCGCCCAAGACGGCCCAAGAGAGCGCCGAGACGGCCCCGAGAGAGACCCAAGAGGGCGCCCAAAAATTCAAAAACTAAATTTTCCGCCGCGAGAGGCCCCGCGACGCCCGGAGAGAGCCCCATGAGGCCCCAAGAGGCCCCCAAGAGGCCCCAAGGAGCCCCCAAGAGGCCCCCCAAAAAATCACAACAACCCCAAAACACCCCCAAGAGGCTTCAAAACTGCCTCCCAGAGGGCCCCGAGAGGCGCACCCCGAGATCCCAACAAAGCCGTCTCCCCCTCTCATTCTCCCTTCTCTTTGTCGTCGCTTTCGTCGCCGTCGTCGTTGTCGCATCAAATGGCGCAGTGAGGCCATTCTTCGTTCAAGCCACCGAAGGACCCAAGCGCTCCTCCTCCTCTTCCCCATTCTCTTCCTCCTCTACCTCCTCCTCCTCCTTCTCCTAATTCCCCGTGATGTTTCACGTTCCGCCCCGCAAAAGGTCTAGCAGAAGCAGCTCTCCA